TGTCTTTTTGAGACAGGGTCTCACTACGCAGTTCAGGCTGGCCTTGAGCTCACTTTGGAGCCCAGGCTGGTCTCGAACTCACAATGATCCTTCTGCCTCAGCCTCTTGACTGCTGGGATAACAGGCATGTGCCACCACGCCTGGCTAAATCTGTAATTTTAAAAGATTATTCTCACTACAGTTTCAACAATTCCCTGAGGCACGCAATTCTCTACATGCAAAAGGAAAAACTAGGGCTGTACACAACCAGGTAATTTATTTGGGATTTTCAATAAATATTTAAAATATACAATAAGGCAGGTAGAGTATAAGGTGGAAGAGGTGAATAAAATAGTCTTGCTCTTGCAAAACTTACAACCTAGTGAGACAGATCTCACTAGAAATGAATGCAGACTATGCTAGAAATGAGTAAAGCACTGTGTAAGGAAGCAGAGAGAAATGAAATCTTCATAAGCTTCACTTCTGTGTTAAGGGGCTGTAATTTTTTTTCACTATAGCTTTTGGATTCCCAATCTTCCTGTGCTTAGAATATAGTTGATATTCAAGAAAATGTGACAAACAAACCCAGGACTTTTGGAACCTAATTCAGGGACTTCTCAATTCTGCCCCGACTCTAGAGTTATGCACAAATGCTAAGAATTATGGAACTATTTTGGAGCTCTACTTTTGAAGTTGCTCTCAGAGTACAAACCACAAAAGAAAACAAGTCTCATGAACGTCAAAATTCATCTCTGACCTCTCTTGAAAACTGGTAACAATATGTAAACGTAGTCAATTTTTTAAAAGCAAATCTCAGGGGCTAGGGATTGAGCTCAGCGGCACAGTGCCCGCCTGGCAAGCACAAGATCGTGAGTTCAATTCGCGGTACCAGAAAAAAACAAAACAAAACAAAAAAGCAAATCTCCAAATATATGGAGTTGTACACATTATACATCCATGGCTTTTTGTGTTAACCAGACCTTAACAAGTAAGCTTCTAGAGAATGAGGAAATGCTCTTATGAAAACAAGCAAGAAAATATGCTATGCTCTCTTTCATAATTCATGATCTCTGTCCTCAAAGTGCTTATATTTTAATTTCTAACTGGAAAATAAAAGCACATAAAAAAGAATAAAGCAATTAGAAGGAAGCATTTGTTCATTTATTTAAGATATTTATAGCCTACCCACTGCAGGCCAAGTCAGGGGCAGGGATATAAAGATGAAGAAGGCAAAGGCCCGTCTTGAGAAAACTCAGTTTTAAGGAAGAAGCCACCAATGTGTACTACAGGACAACCAGAGCTGTTATTTAACACGTACAGGCAGATGAAAACAATGAAGTTCTATATGACTGGCACTTGTACTAATTCATCAGATGTCCAATCCTACTGGTCAGTGTCTATGATTTACCTATGATTATGCTACACATTGATAAATATTATATAATTACTATGTGAGAAAAAGTAATACCAAAAATAATGTTTAAAAAGTTTCAGACAAGATGGTGCAATCTGAAGTTTAGAGATGGTCTTAGGGTCCTCCTGAGTTAAGATTTTTACCAAGGATAGTTAGCCTTGGTTTTGTTTTTTGTTTTTTGAGAGGGAGTCTTACTGTGTATTTCAGGCTGGCCTTGAATCCACTTTGTGGCCCAGGTGCAAACTCTCAGTGATCCTCCTGCCTCAGCCTCCCGTGTGCTGGGATTACAGGTGTGCGCCACAACATCCAGCTAAGGCTGTTTGGATAAGGAAGTGGTTCTAGATGAGGGGGATCGAATAATCAAGAGGCTAGTGGCTGAAATTACCCAAGTCTGTTCCTTAAGCTAGGCTGATGACACAGTGTAGAACTGTGCTGTTCAACATGGTAGCCACCATGCGGCTATTGACACTTGAAATGTGGTTAGACTGAACTGAGATGTATATAAGTGAAAAATACACTCCAGATCTCAGACTTAATATGGGGGGGGGCACAAAAAGTATCTCAATACTAATTTTAATGTTTCTATATTTAAATAATATTTTAGGTATAGTGAATAAAATGCCATGAAAATCAATTTCATCACCTTTTTAAAATTTTTCTAATGTGGCTACTGGAAAATTTTAAATTACATATGTGGCTTACATTTGGGGCTTTCTTTCTATTTCTGTTGGACAGGGCCAGTCCAGACAGCTTTGCGTAACAGGCTAAAGAATTTAAACCCTCTAGGCAATGAAACACCACTGAAGGTTTTCACACTGAAGTGTCTGGTAAATTTGAGAAAGAGCACAAAACATAAAGCACTGTTTCAAGATCAGCGTGGGGGCAATCTGTAGGGGGAAACACTAGAGGCAGTTGTCAATGTCAAAAGGCTGCAAATGTCAAAGGGTAAGCAGGCGGCTGAGCTGGAAAGCATACAAGGTCTCTAGAAGTGTTGGGCCGCGTGGAGAAAGGAGGAAGAAATTAGGATCAGGCTGAGACATGGGAAGAATAACAGGTGCAAGCGCTGATCCCAATCTGGATAACCAAGGTGCAACTCTTGCATGATTTAGCAAGCTCAGCATAGTTTAGGTTTAATCTAGTCTGGCTTAGCCATAAGGGCTCACGGGCAAGTCAGAAGAGAGCAGAACTGTGTCCTTTCCAGCAATTTCAGATCTATCTCCAATGGTGAGATCAAGTCCCAGAGACCAGGAGAAGGTAAGTAAGACTACCAGAAACTACAGGATAATAACATGCTGTTAAAAAAACTTTATAAAAATCAAACAGAGGTAATAAAAACAAAGCTTCGACGTACTTCTGTAAAAACGTACTTACTCCTGAAAACAAAGAATGGACATAACATTAAATTCTTAAGTTAGGCATGGCCAACCTAATCATGAGTGACATTCTTCTTTCCACTTTCCCACGTCCTTGCTGCCTTTCTTCCACTAGATAATTTTTAAATTTATTTTTATTTGAAAGAGAAAAAAACAAGGAACACAAAAACAAAACAATACAAAAACAATAAAAATGATACAGGAGCAGGGCGTAGTGGCTCACGCCTGTAACTCCCGGCCTCCGGGAGGCTGAGGCAGGAGGATCATTGTAAGTTTGAGAGCAGCCTGGACTACAAGCAAGCTTGAGACCAGCCTGAACTGCGCACCGTCCCTAAAAGACCAAAAAAAAAAAAAAAAAGACATTGGATTTCAAAACAAAATGATAGGAATTAACAATGATTGGTATATGACATTATTGTTATACCTCTAGATAATTTAGGAGGAAAAATGAAGCAAATACAGGCACTGAAACCACACCTGAGACTAAACCTATGCCCTTGAACTTCCCAGGTATGTTTCTTGGAGGTCCCTTTCCTAATCCCCACAAAGGGAATGAAGCCAACCCCACAGACTTGAGATAAGGATGAGGATAAAAAGTTAAACACCCTGGGATGTAGAAAGCATGAATTCTAGCTGAACAGTATCACTGCTACTTGAACAAATGGTATCGTTCTGAATTTAAAACATTTTCAGTGCTTCTACTTGAAAGACAAAAACATTTTTTCCCCAAGAGCATCACACTGAAGACAAGCAACTTGGGGATTCCTTACTTCTCTTTAAGTCCTATCAGCTACCAGAAACACCACTGTTGTAAGAATGTTTGGGACAAGAACTCAAAAAGTTCAAGAACTAAAAAAATATATATACAGACATCGTTTTTATCACTGTATCCCAAACAAGACAAGCCAGTCTAATCTGTGTTCTGGTTACCAGCGAATGAGCCTAAGTGTAGGAACACGCTCTTTTAGTACCTCTCCCACTGCCTACCGCAGCAACACCACACACCTCTGAGGGGCAACACAATGCCACAAGCTCTGCTCTTTAACAATCATTTACACAACACTACCAAAAGTTCATCTGTAGTTTGAATGCCAAGATCACGTATGCCTCTTCAAATCTATAATAAACATACACTACCAAAATCTCCCATAATGGAGAAATAACCTCTATTACTAAACTTATGAAAATGTTAAGATGTGTGATTTCTATACACCTTCTATATGCTTACCTACTGAAGGGACACTAGTGATGTTTTATTCACTGAGCCTCAGGTTTGTTTTATTCACTGTGAGTCAAATAACAAAATAACTAAGAGATACAAGAGAAAATAAGAGGCCGAAAGTCCCAGACTGGTAACCTATATCCAAAGAATCACGGATGGGCTGGTCCTTGAAGCTTGAATGAGATGCATCCGTTTTCTGGGGTTCCTGAACCCCCCCAGTGCATTTCCACGGCCTGGGCATTTGGCCACTACGAGCTCATAAACCCACTAATTGGATGTAAAGGGCATCGGATCAGGGCAAGGTGGCAAACACTCCCTGGGCAGTTTCGAGCGCTGTCATTCCTTCGGACCCTCGCTTCCACGTCGAGAGTCAGAATCGCCTCTCCCAGCGGCCACACCCGCAGCGATCCCGGGAGGAGTGAGCAGCTCCGGGCCGGGGTCGCTGGGGAATGAACGCATTCGCTCCACCACGCAGGTCCTGCACGCCAGGCAAGGGCGCGAGGCTCCGAGGCCTGACGCTCGCTCCCGGCCGCCACCAGGCACAGGCGGACGCCACCCCGCGGGCCTC